CCGGCTGATTTTTTGATTTATTGTAGAGATGAGGTCTCGCTGCCCAGGCGGGTCACGAATTTTTTTTTTTTTTAAGCAGGATTTATTAAGAGGACAGAAAAGCTCTCACAGTGGGAGGAGACCCCAGGGGGTTGCCCAGTGCCCTGTATCTTAACTGCAGGGGTGGTCACACAGGTGTGTACATTTGTCAAAACTCATCCATAATTGTACACTTAAAATAGGTGGGTTTTATTGTATTACATCAATCAAACCTCAATAAAGTTGATCTTTAGAACTCTGCATGTGAGAGTACAGGCTGCTGGGTATGATGGCTCAAACCTGTAATCTTAGCACTTTGGGAGAGCCCAGGTGTTCAAGACCAACATGGGCAATTTGGTAAGACCTTGTCTCTACAATAAATCAAAAAATTACCCAGGTGTGGTAGCACGTGCCTATAGTTCCAGCTACTTGGAAGGCTGAGGTGGAAGGATCACCTGAGGCCAGCAGGTCGAGGCAGCCGTGGCTGTGAGCATGCCACTGTACTCCAGCCTGGACAACAGAGTGAGATTCCAACTCAAAAAAAAAGAAAGCACATTCATAAAATGAAGAGGTTCTGGGGATGACACTTACCAAAAATTACAATAATGGACAGCCTAATGTCTAATGTCTAGTTTGTTTTTTGAGATATGGTCTTGCTCTGTTACCCAGGCTGAAGTACAGTGGCACAATCCTGGCTCACCGCAGCCTCAACTTTCTAAGCTCAGGTGATCCTTCCACCTCAGTCTCCTGAATAGCTGGGACTACAGACACATACCATCATGCCCAGCTAATTTTTTAATTTTTTGTAAGGATGAGGTCTCACTATGTTGCCCAGACTGGTCTTAAATTCCTGGGCTCAAGTGATCCTTCTGCCTCGGCCTCCCAAAGTGCTGGGATTATAGGCGTGAGCCACCACAACCACCCTAATGTCTAGGTTTTTTGTTTTTTGTTTTGAGTCAGAGTCTTACTCTGTCACCCAGGCTGGAGTGCAACCTCAACCTGCTGGGTTCAGATGATCCTTCTACTTTATTCTACCAAGTAGCTGGAATTACAGGCACGCACCATCACGCCCGACTAATTTTTTATTTATTGTAGAGACGAGCTCTTGCCATGTTGCCCAGGCTGGTCTCAAACCCGTGGGCTCAGGCAATCCTCTCATCTCCACCTCCCAAAGTGCTGGGATGACAGGAGTGAGCCACCATGCTGGGCCCTAATGTCTATTTTAATAGATACACTCATTCACAAGATGCTAGCCCTGGGTTGGGCCCAGGAAGTGACAGCGAAAGCCACACAGACACAGCCTCGCCCTCCAGAGGACTGCCTGACCAGGAGAGATGATAAGACCAGATGGAGAGCCACTCGAAGGGCTAGGAGAGTGCCCCGGGGTCCCACCTGGACAGGCAAGGACAGAGGCCACCAGGACACCTCTGCCTTTCACTCTCCCCACAGTAGGCCAAACGTTTCCACCCACTGTGGTGCAAGATAACTACTTGGCTGGCAATTCAATGCACTTATATTTTTACTTTAAGTAGTGAATAATAATGTCAGGACTTGGAAACAATTTGGTACTCCTCCATATATGCATTTATTGTAAAAATATAATAGCATTCAGGCAAAAAAAAATTTAGCCTGTTCATACTCTGATTCCCCAAACACAATTTAAACATATGTTCTCCCAATTTTTGTCCAAGTGGAGGCATATTTTGCATAGTATCACTCAAGCAGAACAGATTTTTTGAAAATAGAAATTCATGTTGGCATTTTGCAACTTAATTTCTGTCATTCGCTCCTCTCTAGCTGTAGTTACTAGTACTGACCAACAGCAATAACCACCAAAAAAGAGAAAACACAAGCATGAAATGAAATTTTTTCCAAGTTAAGCATATATTTGCCTGAATGTCTACTATGAGGACTGTGTTGCCAGTCATACTATAAAAGGTCAACTGCTGAATAAACACACACAGCAAAGTCCAGGAGGTGGAGAAAACCCCACCCTTCTGCCAGTCTTCCAATGGCAGAAGATGCCCTCACCCCTTCATTTCACTTAACAAAGTGTGCTAATAAGCACCCTCATTTCACAGATGAGGAAGCCAGAGATGAGTTAAAAAGCTGTTTACCTTCAAGTAATGAAAATGATAAGTTAGTAAATAAAAAGGGACCCTGTCCAGATTTATTTGTCACTTCTGGGCACTGGCAGACACACATTCAGCAAACATGTTCAATCCACTCGCTCACGAAGACAGAGTCAGTTTCCTGTTTAACAAAGATGTTTTATGTCTCTGGCAATAAAATGTAGGCAAGACTCAAACTGTGTCTGAACACTAGTTATATCTTTGGGGGGGGTTGTTTTGTTTTTGTTTTTGTTTTTTGAGTTGGAGTCTCACTCCGTGGCCCAGGCTGGAGTGCAGTGGCACACTCACGGTCACCCCAGTGTCGATCTGCTGGACTCCGGCAATCCTTCCACCTCAGCCTTCCAAGTAGGCAGAACTACAGGTGCACACTACCATGCCCAGCTAAATTTTGATTTATTGTACAGACGAGGTCTCACCATGTTGCCCAGACTGATCTCAAACCTGTGGGCTCAGGTAATCCTCTTCCCTTGGCCTCCCAAAATGCTGGGATTACAGGCTGAGCCACCGCACCTGGCCCAGTTATATCATAAGACGTAAGACAGTCGGGTGTGGTGGGTCATGCCTGGAATCCTGGTCTGGGCAACATACCAAGACCCTAGCTCTAATCTAAAAAATAAAATTTAGCTGAACATGGTGGCTCATGCCTGGAATCCCAGCACTTTGGGAGGTGGAGGCGAGAGGACTGCCGGAGCCCAGGGGTTCCAGATCAGCCTGGGCAATTTGGCGAGACCTCATCTTTACAATAAATCAAAAAATCAGCCGGGCATGGTAGTGCATGCCTGTGGTTCCAGCAGCTTAGAAGGCTGAGGCAGAAGGATCACCTGAGCCCAGCAGGTGGAGGCTGTGGTGGCTGTGAGTGTGCCACTGCACTCCAGCCAGGGTGACAGAACGAGACTCTGACTCAAAATATGATAATAATGATAAAATAAGAATAAATAAATAAAATTTAAAAAAAAACTAAAAAGATCGGGTGTGGTAGCTCACACCTGTAGTTCCAGCACTTTGGAGGCTAAGCAGGGAAGAATGCTTGAGCCCAGGAGTTTAAGACCAGCCTGGGCAATATAGTGAGACTTTGGTCTCTACCAAAAAATTTTAAAAGTTAGCCAGGCATGATAGCACACACATCTATAGTCCCAGCTACTCAGGGGGCTGAGGTGGGAGGATAACTTGAGACCAAGAGTTTGAGGCTTCGGTGAACTGTGATCATGCCACTGTACTCCAGCTTAAGCAACAGAGTGAGACCCCAATTTAAGAAAAATTAAGTTAGAAAGTTTAAAAAGAAGTAAAACATTAAAGTGCTGGAATTTGAAAGAGAATGTCATTACACTGAACAGTAAGATCCCTGCTCCCTGGATACACTGACTGATTCATCCCTATAATCAAGATGGCAGATCTAAAATGAATGAATGATTGTTCTTTACAAGAAATTCAAAAGAGCAGCCACTTCAGTGACTTCCACGGGTGGCCGTTCAGTACTAGGACACAAAGGGGAAGCTGTGTTAACTGCCTTTTTCTCAGTCTTTAATCAAATGGGTACAAATTCTAAGATTATAACTTGATGAGATTTTTTTTTTTAAGTTGGAGTCTCACTCTGTCACCCAGACTGGAGCGCAGTGGCATACTCCTGGCCACCGCAGCCTTGACCTGCTGGGCTCCAGTGATCTTTCCGCTTCAGCCTCCCAAGTAGGTGGAACTACAGGCACACACTACCACGCCCAGCTAATTTTTGATTTATTGTAGAGATGAGGTCTCGCCAAGTTGCCCGGGCAGGTCTCAAGCCTGTGGGCTCAGGCAACCCATTCAACTTGGCCTCCCAAAGTGCTGGATGACAGGTTGAGCCATCAAGCCCAGCCAACTTGATGAGATTTAAAAGAAAATAGCCCCGTGCACAGGCGCCCACTGGGACTGACCCCGTGTATGCTCAGGCTGTAGCCACCAACCTCACAATAGCACCCCTCTGATCACAGAACCCCTCGGGTTCCAGGTAATGCCTTTCTGGTTTTTCAAGCCTCTTTACATCCTCAGACTTTCTACCCAATAGCAGCAGGAAGATAGTTATAGATTCTACCCCAAAATGGTCATTTTAAAAATACCAATAAAACTGGTCAGAACAAACAGTAGCCTCTTGATTTTCTCAAATAGCTAGGTGTGGGGTTATGCCACAGGTAAGGGCTTTCCTCCATGGGGCCTGGCTCTAACTCCCATAGCCCTGTTAGAGTTTTTTTTGTTTGTTTGTGTGTGTGTTATTTTGAGTAGGGGTCTCACTCTGTTGCCCAGGCTGGAGTGCAGTGGCACGCTTACAGTTTACAGTAGCCTCTATCTCCTGGGCTCATGGGACTATAGGTGCATGCCACCACATCAGCTAACTTTTAAAATATTTTGTAGAGATGAGGTCTCGCTATGTTGTCCAGGCTGGTCTCGAACTCCTGGGCTCAAGCACCTCCCAAAGTGCTGGGATTACAGGTGAGAGTCACCACACCTGGCCCAGTCTTTTATTATAATGTTGGGGTGCTTTCAGCTTCAGGGTCAGGCCTCAGGACACAGAATCTCTCTGACCTTCTCCTGCCCTCCTTTCATCGGTCCCAAGGCAAGACTCAATTCTTCCCCTGCCTTCTGATTGTGGGTTTTAAGAGTCTCCCCAAAGAAGGTCCCACCCTCTGCCTGGAGGAAGGAATGTTGAGGTCCCAAAGTTTCAATAAACCCAAGCGGATTAGTTTCTGAGAGCCAGACACGTGAGGCTCCTGGAGGGTGGCACCCCCAGGGAGGGCATGGAAGCTCCGCACCTTCCCCATGACCAGTTCTATGCATCACGTCATCTGCATCCTTTATAATAAACTGAGAAATGGGTTTCCTGGAATTCTGGGACCTGCTCCGGCAAATTAATTGCACCCAACATTAGGATCATAAGAACCCCAACTTGGACTTGTGACTGGTGTGGTGGCGTCTTGGGACTGAGTCCTCACCCTACGGGATCTGACACGGTCTCCAGGTAGACAGTGCAAGAACTGAGCTGGAGGACACCCAGCCAGCATCCGCTGCCTGGGAATGGAGAGAAACCCTCACACGTGGTCACAGGAGTCTCGTGTTGATGCCTGCTGTGGTGTGAGGCAGAGGGAGAAACACGGGGGGTTTTTCCCCAAGAACTAGAAGCGTTTCCTGATAGATGGAAATCAAAGCAAACAGAAATCTGCAGGTCCATCATCCTTCCCACAGCATGGCTGTGCCCTCTTCCTGCCATGCCATGCCACGCCACACGTACCATTTGCCGAAGGGCCTGGGCTTTCAAAAGAGCACCTATGGCCATACGCAGCTGCCCAATGACCCCAGCCTAGCGCCAGCCCAAGAGCCACGAGTGCACCACCCCAGCTCACCAGGAGAGGCAGTCCTTGAGGGCAGTGTAGTAGGGGAACCTGGAAACCACACAGACCGCGAAGGGCACAAAGAAGCCCGAGGAGCTTACGGCTGGCCACGATGGTTCCCAGTGTGCTTTGCCGTTGTAGAAGCAGTATTCCTCCTGGGGGAAAAGCAGCAACACGTTCACTTCCCCATCCCGGCACCTCCAGTACCTGTTTTCCATCACATGGGCATTTCAGCACAGAGCGAGGCTGCAGAAGCCGAGAGTCCCACACACGCCTGGCTATGCTCCCCACTGGTGTTGCTGCCATGTCCAAGCCAGCACCGGCCTTCTAGTCAGCATCTTCAGGGCCCTGCACAAAGATGACAAGACGCATCCCTGCCCTGGAAGAGCTTACGACCTTGGGATAAGGAGGCATGCAGGATTAGAACACAGCAAGACCCAAGACAAGATAGATAGTGGGATTCTGCTTAAATGGGGCGGTGGGAGGAGGGTAATGCAGCGGCCACGCAGGGGAAGCAGCATCTACATGTGCCTGGGAGCCTGATGGGCATCACAGACTTGGAGAATGGAGCAGAAGGGCCTCAGCCTGGGGGTTCCAGAAGGCACCGTGCACCCCAGAACTTAACAAGTGGCACCATATTTGAGGCTCACAAACGGGACCCCAGAAGGGGGTTGTTTGTTGGGGTTTTTGGTAGGGATGGAGGGGGGTGATGATAGCTTCGGTCTGGGGACTTTTCAAATTTGAGGTATAGTAAGACGCCCGGGCCAAGGGAGACACCCAAGAAACGGTCAGCTACGTCCTTTGTTTATCCAGCCACATTTAATGACTGTCCACTGCTCTGCAGTCACTCTGCTCGAGTTCAACCCCTGACTGTGGCGTGACCTGGGGCAAGTCACCTAAACCCTCTGTGCCACCATGTCCTCATCTGTATAGGGGGTGATACTAACAGTTCCCAGCCTCATTTGCTGTGATAAGGATTAAATGAATTACCACACACAAAGCGCTTAGGGCCACGCCTGGTCCTGAGCTGCTTGTTCGTCTGGTGGCAGCTGCTGTTAGGACAGTCAGGAAGGAGCTGGAGTTACAGACACAATATGATTCCTACCTTCAAATCATGTAGCATCAATAGAAAGACTGAACAGAGCATAGGAGAAGGCTGTGTCTGAGCCTTAGATATAACAGTCATCCAAACACATGGTGAAGAAAGAGGTGAAGCAGTGTGGGCCAGGGAACACCCCAAACTACATAGCCGCTGGGAGCACAGGGGAAGGGGCCAGGCATGCCCCTGACAGGCAGGTGAACAGGAATAGTGGCATCTGGTATATCAGCCTCCCAAGTAATTGGGACTACAGGCATGTACCACCATGCCCGGCTTACTTTTATTTTTTGTACAGACAAGTTCTCACTATGTTGCCCAGGCTGATTTCGAACTCCTAGCCCCAAGTTGTCTTCCCAACTCAGCCTCCAGAGTAGCTGAGTATACAGGCGTGTACCACCATGCCCTCCATGTACCCATACTTCTACTAAAAAAGAAAAAAATCACCCAGGCTCTGACAATTCAGTACAGTCACTCTGCTGCATGAACTCACTGACATACTCTCATAAAGCACCAGGTGCCTAAACAAAGGCCAGTGGTTCACCCTCTGTTTCTGATAGCTCTCTGGCAGTACGAAGCCCTCTGGCAGTACGACAGCCCTTGAGGCCTGTCATTGCCCCCATAAGCACTGCAAAGTCCAGCTGGTTCCCACTCATAAACATGTGATGAGCGTAACGTGCTTGCAAATTCTGAACCCAAGTACCTTGCACAGAAGACAAGCGGTGGAAACGACTCGCATGTCCAGCAATAGATAAGTGGGTAAGAAAAATGTAGTCCATCCACACAATGTAATGATACTCAGCCATAAAAAACAATGAAGCCAAGCACGGTGGCTCACACCTGTAATCCCAGCACTCTGGGAGGCTGACGTGAGAGGAATGCTTGAGCCCAGGAGCTCGAGACCAGCCTAGACAACACAGCCAGACCTCGTCTCTACAAGAAACCAAAATATTAGCCAGGTATGGTGGTTCGTGCCTGTAGTACCAGCTACACGGGATGCTGAGCTGGAAGGATCACCAGAGTCCAAGGGGTCAAGGTTGTGATCACACCCCTGCACTCCAGCCTGGGCAACAGAGTGAGACTCTGACTCAAAAACAAAACAAAACAAGCCATGAAGCACTGACTGACACATGCCACAATGTGGATAAGCCTCATTCGGTGCTAACTGAAAGAAGCCACATATTGCATGATTCCATTGACATGAAATATCCAGAACAGACAAATCCATAGAGACACAGAACAGATTAGTGGTTGCTGGGTCTGGAAGAGACAGAGTGGAGGGGTGAAGGCTTCATAGGTATGAAATTTTAGGGGGTGATGGAATGTTTTCAAACTAGACATTGGTGGTAGGTGTACAACACTGGGGATGCATTTAATGAATGACTCTGAATTGCATACTTTAAAATGGTGAATGCTATTTTACGTGTATGTCACAATAAAAAAAATCTAGGCCACGTGCAGCGGCTCACACCTGTAATCCCAACAATTTGGAGGCCAAGGTGGGAGGATTGCTTGAGCCCAGAAGTTTGAAACTGGCCGAGACAGCATAGCAAGACTTCACGTCTACAAAAAGATAAAAAATTTAGCTGGGTGCGGTGGAGCATACCTGTAGTGCCAGCTACTCAGGAGAGCCAAGGCGGGAGGAGGATCACTTGAGCCCAGGAGTCTGAGGCTGTAGTGAGCGGTGATCATGCCACTACACTCCAGCCTGGGCCACAGAGTGAGACCTTGACTCCAAAAAAAAAAAATCTAAACCTAACTTCAGAAGGAATAAAGGAGCCACCTACATGCAGGGGTCGGTAGTACTGGGCCACCACACCGTAGGTCCTGTTCCCGCAGAAGTCGGTCAGCACCAGGAAGTGGACACAATCCTCCTTTGGTTCAGAGGCCACGCACACGCCCCCTGCAGGCAGAAGAAGAAAATTTTTTTTTTTTGAGTTGGAGTCTCACTCTGCTGCCCAGGTTGGAGTGCAGTGGCACGCTCACAGCCACCACAGTATCGACCTGCTGGGCTCAGGCATCCTACCACCTCCGTCTTCCAAGTAGCTGAAACTACAGGAGTGCGCCACCACACCCGGCTAATTTTTGGATTTACTGTAGAGGTGAGGTCTCACCAAGTTGCTAAGGCTGGTCTCAAACCCATGAGCTCAGGCAATCCTCTCACCTCGGCCTCCCAAAGTGCAGGCATCATAGGCGCGAGTTACCATGCGTGGTCTGAAGAAAAGAATTTGATTCTGTCCATGTGGCCTGGGCTATCCATGAATCAATTTTTTTTTCACAGCATCCAGAACACGCCTGCCCATCTCCAGTTATCAGCGGCACCTTGGTGTCCAAGAGGTGTTCATTCTTCCCATCAATGCCTCTGACCAGCTCTGCCTCCCAGAGTCCTTCCCCAGCATAGCAATTTCTTTACATTCCCTCTGTGCTCTGAAGCACTTAGTGAATGAACATGCGGACCACATAGATACTCAGAGCCATGGCTAAATCCTCAGGGCATGCCCAGAGGCCAGCGGCAGTGTATCCTGGGTATAGCAGCATATCCCACACCTGTCCCTGGTTTATAATCCCTGTGACCAGGAAATGGTATCAAGCTCTTGATGGTCACTATGAGAGGTACTTATGCCAAGTCCCTAATCTGAGTTCCCTACATCAGCCGTTTTTACATTTCTTAAGACCAGCAGAAAAAATAAAGCCCGTTAAACTCTCAAGCTTGGGAACTAAACGCAAGCCTGTGCTTCTTGTTCCAGCAAAACAGAAAACAGGAGGAGGGGTGAGGCCCAGTGTCTCATGCCTATAACCCCAGCACTCTGGAGGCAGAAGCAGCAGGATCGCTTGAGCCCGGGAGTTTGAGTACAGCCTGGACAACATAGCAAGAGCCTGTCTCTACAAAAAAAATTAAAAATTTAGCTGGGTGTGGTGGCATACAGCTGTTGTTCCAGCTACTTGGGAGGCTGAGGTGGGAGGATCGCCTGAACCTAAGAGGTCGAGGCTATGGTGAGCTGGGATTGTGCCACTGTACTCCAGCCTGGGTGACAGAGTGAGACCTGAAACAAACAAACAAAAAAAGAAAACTAAATCCTACAATCCGACAGGAGAGCCAGCAAGGGTTCCCTGGCCCAGCCATACTTTCTACTGTCCTTGGACTTCTGGAAACAGACCGCTGTGGGTGGCCAGCAGCATGGAGCCAACCTTGTTCTGCCCAATGGACCCCACCTGGGAAGCACAGCTGGGGCAGGGCAAGGAGGTCCACACCACCCGGGATGGTGACATCTTCAGGATCCGGCACTTTGGGAGCCCCTGGGAGGCCCTTCCACTGCTCCAGCCTGGGCTTCTCCCTCTTCTTTCTGAAGGAGCGCCTTCGGGTCTTTCCGAGCATAGCACACTGGGCATTGGCCATCTGACTGTCCTCTTTACTGATAAAAGGAGGCACAAAAACGGACAGAACCTCTGGATCAAGAGAAGAAAGATTTCTGACTCCCTTCTTCTGAGCAACCTAAAATATGCAAAAAAAAAAAAAAGTTACTGCAATGGCATCAGCTCTTAATCTGGACTCTCTGGCTAAACATCTCCATTCATTTCTTTGTCTCCCTCCATACCCATAAGCACCTGTGGTTTTGCACCATCCCTTAAAGAAAAGCCAGTGCCAGTGGCTTTTCCCACCAAGGCTCCTGACAGAAGGCTTCTGTTAGGAACTTCCCAGGCCCTGTGTTCAGGCAAGTCTCAAAGTCTCCTGGAGTTGGCTCCTGGAATGTAAACACTGAGAGCAGCGTCTGGCCTCCCTCACATGAAGCACTGCAGTCTTGGCCCAGCTCACTGCAGCCTCAACCTCCTGGGTTCAGGTGATCCTTCCACCTCGGCTTCCTGAGTAACTGGGACAATAGACACACGCTACCAAGCCTGGCTAACTTTTTTGATTTTTGTAGAGATGAGGTCTCACTATGTTGCTAAGGCTGGTCTCGAACTCCTGGGCTCAAGTGATTCTCTTGCCTCAGTCTCTCAAAGTACTGGGATTACAGGTGTGAGCCACCACACCCGGCCCGAGTTTCCCTTTCAAGGGCTGAGTGCAGGGAAGACAACGTTGGCCAAGGACTCAGCCCAATGGGGCTGCCAGGAGCCCCACGGGCACAACTGCACACCCTTTTCTGGGGGGGGGGGCAGACACAGTGAAAGTTCTGCATATCATCAACCCTCCGACACACAGTCACCAGCGCTACACCCTCCATGCCAGCCAGGCAGGTGCTGCATTCCTGCCAGTCACCACTGTCCTGTGCAGATGGACAGAGGAGTAAGAAAAATCACCAGTGAACACAGAAGGAGGAGGCGGCCCTTCCTTGACACAGAAGGAGGACACCACCCCTTGAATCAATAAAAGAGGGGTGCTGGACCTCAATTCTTTTCAACTTTAACTAGGTACAACATTTTATGGTTTTTTGGTTTGTTTGTTTTTTTACTTTTTATCTTTCCATTCTTCTCCAAAATAATATAAAGAACAGGGGCTGTCCCTTCCATCTTTTTTCTATCCACTATGATGCCTTATACAGTTCTCATTACAGAGTCGGGACTAAGCAAACATCACTGCCAGGCTGGTTTCAGGTCTTTCAAAGAAGAAGAACTAGATGCCATGTGTGAGCGAGGAGGAAGGAGTTTAGGGCGACGCTGGCAGAAACAGCGAGTCAGAAGCAGGGGGCTCTGGGTTCAAAAGACGTGGACAGAAGTAGTGGCCGGGCAGGGTGGGGAGGGGGTAATCAAGGGTCTTTGAGGAACATTAGAAAGGACAGTTATGTCACCCAGAGAAGTGGACCTTGGGCAACAGAAAAGAAATAGCCAACACTCAGCATTCCAATAAGAATCAGCAGAACTCTTACACTGAAGGGATTTACACAGTAGCAGCATTTTCCATTAGCAAGTATGTGCCAAGCTCTAGATGACCATGTGTGCTATATCAACCAAACTCAGTCAAAAATTTCTTTATGTTTGGGGAAAATAATTTAATCCAGTAGGAACCAAATCCAAACATGGGAAATCCATATTACTGTACAATTTAAAAGTTTTAGTAAGCCGGGTGCGGTGGCTCATGCCTGTAATCCTAGCACTTTGGGAGGCGGACGTGAGAGGATTGCCTGAGCTCAGGGATTCATGATCAGCCTGGGCAAAGTGGCAAGACTTTGTCTCTATAATAAATCAAAAAATTAGCTGGGCATAGTGGCGTGTGTCTGGAGTTCCAACTACTTGGAAGGCTGAGATGGTAGGATCACCTGAGCCCAGGAGGTCAAGGCTGTGGTAGCCATGAGCATGCCACTGCATTTCAGCCTGGGTAACAGAGTGAGACTCCAACTCAAAAAAGAAAAAAAAAAAAAGCTTTAGTGTATCACGAATGAAAGGAATCCATTTGGCCAGGTGTGGTGGCTCACACCTTTAATCCCAGAGTACTTTGGAAGGCCAAGACAGGAGGATCACTTGAGCCCAGGCGTTCAAGTCCAGCCTGGGCAACATAGCAGGACCTCGACTCTACAAAAAAATCAAAAAATTAGCCAGGTGGTGGTGGTGTACCAGGCTATAGTCCCAGCTACTTGAGACGCTGAGGTCGGAGGATCACTTGAGCCCAGGAAGTCAAGGCTGTAATGAGTTGTGATCATGCCACTGCACTCCAGCCTAGGAGGCAAAATGAGACCTCAACTCTAAAACAAAAAGAAAGAAAGGAATCCACTTCTTCAATTATATGAAACCATCTCTAAAACTTTCCTAACAGAATTTGACGGTTCTGGCCTAATGAAATCTAAAACGATGCTGTCTATTTCTTCCTCACATAAAAAATTATACCTGTAAATATGGAAGGTCCATCACCATATTGCAAGATCACAGTCACAGGAGCAAGCGAGTGGGCTGCCCCTGCTCCTGGAACTTTCCTGGTCCCACCTCCCTCCTGGTCTATCCCTCCAGCTGCTCCTTTGTGGCCTCCTGCAGGCCCTTCTCAGTACTGGGTACGGGCTGAGACCACCAGGCCTGGATCCCTGGCCAGTCCTCCAGACGATCTCGGCACTCACACGGCTGCCTCCACAGCCCCCAGTGGACAGCCCGAGTCCTGCTCCCAACTCAGACCCCTGTCCAGTCCCAGGCTCTCCCCAGTGGCCTCCCGACACACCCGCTGCATCTCAGGGGTCCCTGATCCCCCCACCTACATTCTCCTCCCGATGAAAGCAGCACAGTGCAGGTTTCTGGAGCTGGGACTCCAGCCCTGAGGCCCCGTCTCCCTCACACCCACCTGTAAACCCACACTCCCAGGTCACTGCTCTTAGAAGACCTCAACAACCAGCGTGCCACTGTGCCATCCGTATCACTTTGCAAACCGAGCACCTGCGTGGCCCATGGCTCAGAGCAGGTGCAGGTTAACCGGAGCAAAGCCTCAAAGGTTCCTGCCAGGGTAAGAAGGAATATGCTTCTTCCCACCCAGCCTGGGCTCCCCACCTGCATCCACATCCACTCTCCCAAAGAGGGGCATCTCCTGGCTGACAACAGAATACACCCTTCATGGGTCCAGCCCGGCCGACCTATTGAGGTGCCTCCACAATACTGAAAAAAGCATGCTGGTTTCTTCCCATCATTCCTACGTCTTCCCATGTGCATGCATATGTGTGCATGCGGTGGGACAGTGTGCCCCTGAGCAGCACGCTGGCCCGCTCCTCAAGCCAGAGTGTCCCCAAAGCCAAGCACGACGAAACCCTCTTTGGGACGCACAGCACTTCGGCAATGACCGTCCCCACTTCGCCCCCTTCACTGGGCCTGGCATACCCAAAACCCTCGGGGCTCCACCTGCATACTCCACAGACCACTGGCCCCTCACACTCACCAGGGAGGGCCTTCCCACCCCAAAGGCAGGACAACAGGCTCCCCCAGACCTCCATCGTCACCTCCTGGTGATGCTGCCCTGGCCAGTGGTACTGCCTCACCTCCTGAGTTGTGGAAGCGGGTGGGACAGAGATTGTTTGGTAGTCCTCTGTCCCACAGGTAACAGAGAAGACAGCCCTTAGGTGAGGTTGGTCCTCCGTTCATACTCCTGGCACTTGGTGGCCTCTTAGAGGCACACTCAGTCTGCACTGAATATTGATGATCACACTAGAAGAATCAACACACCACCTGTCACTCCTCTAATTCTCTTTAGTCGCTTTATTTTTTATTTATTTATTTATTTTTTGAATTGGAGTCTCACTCTGTCGCCCAGACTGGAGTGCAGTGGCCGCTCCCAGCCACCGCAGCCTCGACCTGCTGGGCTCCAGTGATCCTTCCACCTCAGCCTTCCAAGTAGCTAGAACTACAGGTGTGCACTACCATGCCCAGCTGATTTTTGATTTATTGTAGAGATGAGGTCTCGCCAAGTTGCCCAGGTGGGTCTCGAACCCGCGGGCTCAGGCGATCCACTCACCTCAGCCTCCCAAAGCGCGGAATTACAGGCTGAGTCACCGAGCCTGGCTTTATTTTTTATTTTAATTTTTATTTTATGAGTAGGAGTCTCACTCTGTTGCCCAGGCCAGAATGCAGTGGCACACTTAAGGCCACTGCAGCCTCGACCTGCTGGACTCAGGGGATCCTTCCACCTCAGCCTTCCAAGCAGTTGGAACTACAGGCACACATCACCACACCCAGCTAATTTTTGTGATTTATTGTAGAAATGAGGTCTCGCCAAGTGCCCAGGCTGGTCTCGCACCAGTGGGCTCAGGCAATCCTCTCACCTCGGCCTCCCAAAGTGCTGGAATTACAGGCGTGAGCCACCGCAGACAGCCTCTTTAGTCACTTTAAATGTTGTGGCCCAAATCCGACCCACTTGGCATCCAGCAGTACATCACACATCTGCTTTTTTCTCAAAATGGAAATTCCCCGTTGTCTTTTCTAAATGGATAATACAATCTCATTTTTGCAAATAAATATAGAAATAATAAAGGAAATGTAACAGAAAGGAAAGGCCCTCCCAGGACTCCATGACTCAAAGGTAACTTGCTTTGCACAGCATGGGATATATCTTTCCATTTTTTAAAAAAAATTTTTAAATTTAAAGATATGGGTTACAATTCAGGGCTAGGTATACAAATGTTCATTACGCAGGTACCCTTGTTGATGAGGTGTGCTCCCCCCATAGTTTCCCACTACTGCCAATCCCTTTCTTATAGTATTAAGATAACTGTTCAAGGTCCGCTTAGGAGTGAGAACATATGGTACTCTGTTTCTTTGTTTCTGTGATAGATCACTGAGTATGACATCTTTCCATTTTTATACACGCATAAGCTTATAATTTTGTTTCATAAATGCATTCATCCTATTTAAACAGTTCCGGCCATGCATGGTGGCTCACACCTGTGATCCCAGCAATTTGGGAAGCTGAGGCGAGGATTCCTTGAGCCCAGGAGTTTGAGGGCATCCTGGGCAACCCAGCGAGACCTTGCCTCTACAAAAAAATTAAAAATAGAAAATTAGCAGGGCATGGTGGCACACGCCTACAGTCCCAGCTACCCGGGAAGCTAAAGCAAAAGGATCCCCTGAGTCCAGAAAATCAAGACTGTTTTAAACTACAGGGTGTGGCTGTCCTTCCTGCTCAGTGCTGTGTGGTGTCACAGTGCAATGATTCAGTAGTGTATCTACCCAGTCCCCTTTGGAGAGACATCCGGGTGGCTCTCATGTCTTCACCACGCCAGACAAAGTCACGAGGAATAGTCTCATCGATACACATCCTACTCTTGCATTAGAACAAATTCCTGAAAGTCAAAGTCCTGGATCAAGAGTGTCTGCAGGTTACTTTGTGACCTGTTGCAGTTGTCCCTCACTGCCAGGTCCAGAGAGGTGCCTTCCCGCGGACTTTACCAGTGCAGACACTCTCAATCACCCCTGCCAGTCCTAGCCAGGAGCTGACAGTCATTTCCCGCTCTTCTATCCCAGATGCTGACTTTGGTTTTGTTTTGAGTTGGAGTCTCACTCTGTCACCCAGGTAGGAGTGCAGTGGCACACTGCGCTCAGCCACGGCAGCTTCGACCTGTTGGGCTCGGGCAAACCCTCCGCCAGTCTTCCAAGTAGCTAGAACCACAGGCATGCACTACCACGCCCAGCTAATTTTTTGATTTAGTGTGGAGATGAGGTCTCGCCATGTTGCCCAGGCTGGACTCGAACCCCTAGGCTCAGGCAATCCTTTCGCCTCGGCCTCCCAAAGTGCTGGGATTATAGGCTTGAGCCACCACACCCGGCCTGAAATTTAACTGAAATTAAATGAAGTTTCTCAGCCTCACTAGCCACACTCCAAGCATTCAGTAGCCCTAGGTGGCCAGTGGCTACTATACTTGTCAGCACAGACAAAGAATACTGTCTGCCATTATCCAGGAAAGTCTGTTGGCCATTGCTGTTCTAGAAAATGAAAGTCAGGATGGTCTCCATTAAAAACCATAACAAGACGGGCGCAGTGGCTCATGCTTGCAATCCTAGCTCTTTGGGAAGCAGAGGCGAGAGAATTGCCTAAGCCCAGGGGTTCAAGACCAGCCTGGGCAACTTGGCAAGACCTTGTCTCTACAAAAAATAAAAAAATTGCCAGCTGTGGTGGTGCACCTTTGTAATTCCAGCTACTTGGAAGGCTGAGGTAGAAGGTTCGCCTGAGCCCAGTAGGTTGAGGCTGCGGTGGCCGTGAGTGTGTCATTGCACTCAAGCTGGGTGATAGAGTGAAACTCCTATACAAACATAAATAAATAATAAGACGGATGCAGTGGCTCACACCTGTAATCCTACACTTTGGGAGGTGGGGGTGAGAGAACTGCCTGAGCCCAGAGGTTCGAGACCAGCCTGGGCAACTTGGTGTGAACCTTGTGTCTATAACAAGTCAAAAAAAATTAGCCAGGCGTGGTGGTATGCATCTGTAGTTCCAGCTACTTGGAAGACTGAGGCAGAAGGATCGACTGAACCCAGAAGGTCGTGGCTGCACTCTAGCCTGGGTGACAAGAGTGAGATTCCAACTCAAAAAAGAACAAACCAAAACAACGTACTTTCACATGCAAGAAGTCACAGGTGACCTACCCTATGGAAGGAGCTCTGAGCACTTTCTACCACTCTGATGGGATTTATGATGGATCCCTTCAAACCCTAGTCTAGTCTCCATACAACCAACAACAGGGGGATATAGCCTTTCTATAGTAAAGCGGTGTAACTTTACTATACTAAACCAGAATAACTCACATGGGAATTGACCCACATTCTTGAATTCTTTGTCATTAGTCCCAGTGAAACAAACACCACCCTGCCTATCTAGGAAATAAAACTAAAAGGGCCTGGGAATATACCTGGAAGAAATCAAATCACTCTATAAAAAAGATAACTGCACGTGTATGTTTATCACAATGTTGTTCACAGTAGCAGCCATGCTGCCCATCAAAAGAGGACTGGATAAAAAAAATGTGGTACCTATACATGATGGAATATTACGCAGCCATAAAGAAGGACAAACTCATGAACTTCACAGCAACCTGTGTGGACTTAGAGTCTATAATACTGAGTGATATATCCCAGAAACAAAAGAACTGGCTATCACATGTTCTCACTCATAAGCGAACCTTGAACAATTATCGTAATACTATAAGAAAAGGATTGGCAGTAGTGGGAAACTGCCAGGTTGCGGGGGGAGGCGGGACTGGCAGTGGTGGGAATCTGCTGGGGGAGGGGGGATGAGGGGGGAGACACACCTCATCGACAAGGGTATCTATATAATGAACATTTGTATACCTAACCCTGAATTGTACCCCACATCTTTAAAATAAAAAGATTAAAAAAAAAAACAAAAACTGAAAGGGCATAGTTGGATATTTCTCATACCCCCGGGCTTCTGTTTTCATGTATCACCAAATAGAAATGCCTGAGCTACAGAGAAATGGTAATTCAAAAAGGTAAAAGTAAATATTATGAATTAATTAAAAAGTAAAAATTTTAAAAAGCCTTGGACATCTAAAATAGAACTGCTTTTTAAAAAAAAAAACTAACTAAATTAAATCATGTGTTTGGTTGATCGTAACATTAATGTTGACCTTAAAACTAGGATCACTCCAGGAGTTTAATCCATCACCTAAACTTTTTTTTTTTTTTTTTTTGAGTCAGGGTTTCACTCTGCCGTGAAGGCTGGAGTGCAGTGGCAGGATCACAGTTCACCACAGTCTCAGCTTCCTGGGCTCAGGGAATTCTCCTGCCTCCATTCCCAAAGTGCTGGGATTATAGGCATGAGCCACCGCACCTGTTTTGTTATTTTTTTTTTCCTAATCCTTCACTTTTTTCCTCTCCACCCTTTGCCAACCCCCTAACAGATTCAGAGTACAGAATAAAGAGGACAGACCTCATCTCTATAGAGAATCAAAACATTAGCCAGATGTGTTGCACATGCCTGTAGTCCCAGCTACTTGGGAGGCTGAGGCAAGAGGATCACCTAAGCCCAGGAGGCTGTAGTGGGCCATGATGGTGTCGCTACACTCCAGTTTGGGCCATAGAATGAGACCTCATCTCAAATAATAAAATAAATAAAGAGGACAAAAGTTCAAATACACAGTAGCAAACTGTCCATACTCTCACTTGGCCCCAGGAAAACGGAAAACAGGAAAATGTTGCAGCCTGTGGAGCTCAGGAAAATTAGTATTCGCAGATATTCCAGCTGATTCATCCTGGTCTCAAAAGACATGCCTCACCCAAAGCAAGGAACACACATGTTGCCACGGCCCCAGAAGCAAACACAGTCCACGGCTGAGACCACAACTGTAACCAGGTCATTTCCTATTCGAAGGAAAATGAGGTACCTTCTGACAAATTAGAGACAGGGAGACAACTGAAACCCATTTCCAAGGGTGGGCAGGGACAGAGGTCAGAGGGGTGCCCTGACATAACAGGTCAAAGAGAAAGAAATCTGGAGGGAAACACAGAAATCATTTCCATGTGAGTAACGCTTGTTCACTGAGGTCAAAGTTGGCTTTGTATGAAAGCCCAACTGTAGAAACTATTCAGAAGCTCACTGACATTCACTCGGTTGACTTTAGAAACATTTAACTTTCCATTCTTCGTTTTCCCTGGACAGCCCAGCATCATTTAAATACTCAGATGCCTCTCTCTGCCTTTCAGTATCGTCATCTGGAAAGAGACGAGGGACTTGCCCGGATGACTGGGCAGTGAAGTAGGGAAATGTCTCGGCAAAAGGACAGTTATGGTGCCACGGACATGCTGGGCTAGGAGAAAAGAGGGCCACAGACGGATCCCAAAGAAAGCCGGCGCTCCGGAGTTAAGAAAAGGAGAGTGCAGGGAAGAAGGAGAACGAGCATTTCCAAAACCGCGGCTTCCCCGGAGGAAAGGAGACGAAGTTGTCACTTTGGCCGCTGGGGTACAGAGAGGGGGAGGGACTAGGGGTTCCTGCAAGTGAGGAAAGCAGCGAGGCGGCATCCCAAAACGACCAGACGCAGGCCACCTGAAGCCGGTGGTTGCATGTAAAACGTAAAATCTCATTATTCTGCGCCCAGGACAGAACCCACCACTTGGAAGGTGTAAAGAGCGAAATCATCCAATCGGCTAATCGCAAGGAGGTGGCCCACTGGACCGTGAAGCCCCGGGGTTCCGCCGCGTCGTCTAGCTCAGCGCGTCTTCAGCACCTGCCGAGGTGGGGGCCCTCCGAGAAACGCCCAGGGGGCGCGGGCGCTTCTGCACGCAGCAACCCTGGGTGCAAGTCCGGGCCCCGCCCAGAGAGAGGCCCCCAGGGAGAGGAAGGGCAGGGAGGGCGCAGTCCCCGGGCCCGGCAGGCGGAGGCCCCGGTCTGGCTCGCGCGCCGTCCCTCCCCCAGCAGGCGCGCAGGGTGCCCGCCCGGGGGCCGGCTGGGCGCAGCCGTCGGAAGCCAGCGCCGGCCGCGTGGGGACACCCGGGCGCCCCCTCGGGACGCGCCAGGAGCCTGACCCTGCCCTCCGACGGTTGCCCCGGCTGCCGCCGCCCGGCCCGCGCTCCGCCTCAGTGTCCCCGCCGTCCCTCACCTGCTCCAGGCCGCGAAGGCTGTCCCGGGAGGCGCCCAGCAGCGCGCACAGCTCCAGCAGCCCCGAGGGCAGCGACAGGTGCTGCGGCGCGGCCTCCGCCATGGCTGCCCCGAGGCCCGCGGCGCGCGCCGCGCTCGGAACCTTCGGGCCG